ACAGCCGACCGACGAGTTGACGCGCTTGTCCGCCGCCGGCTCGCCGACGGCCGGCAGGAGAATCGAGAGCGCATCGAAGCTGCCAAGTTTGCGCACCTTGTCCAGGTAGAGGCCCATGCCCGATGAGAAGATGCCGCCAGAGAGGCCGTCGGCGAGGGAGGCGAGCACCGATGCGCACTCGAGTGGGTCCTGCCGGTCGCCTTCCCCGCACGCGCAGCGGCCAACGAAGCTAACGGAGAGGACGCCGAGCTCGGGGTCGCAGTCCGTCGGCGTGAACAGGACGATTGCGTGGTGGTGCTCGGAGGCGTCGCCACTCTCGGCGAGCTGCAGCAGGCCGCCCGGCTGGTTGGGCGAGTGCATGTCGACGAGCTGCTCGACGGAGAAGCGGCCTCCCGCGACCACCTTCTCCAGCTGGTTCTCGGAGATTTGGAGGTAGCCCTCATATCGTAGGAGTTCGAGTGTCGAGCGCACGTCATCGCCTGCCGCTGGCGGCGGCGGCGGAGGAGAAGGCGCCGTCGGCAGAGGCGCCACAGAGATGGCGCCAGTCGCAGCCGGCGGCGTGAAGCTCGCGGTGAGGTTGAGCGGTCGCAGAACGCGTTGCGGGCTTGGGGATGCGGCCTTGCTCGACGGTGGCTGCACAGGCGACTGCAGCTGCTCGTTCTCCGACGCCGGCGCCCCCGTCGGCGACGGGCAGCACCCTTGCGGGCAGCTCTTGAGCTTCTTGCGCACGTGTTTGGAAGCCGGCGAGCAAGAGCCGGCCATCTCGTCGAACATGGGATTCGGCATGAGATTGACACTGCGAGTCGGAATGAGCCAACGTGGCAGTCCAGCCTGCTGTGGACCTCTGTGGCCCTTTCCGAATTCTTTTTATTTGAACTACAAAAGGATGAGGCGGGCGAGAGGCCTTTCTGTTCTACCCTCGAAGGGAAGATTGCCTGGGTGTCCCAACAAAAGAAACGCGCCCGTGTCTCACCGGTGTCTCCTCCCCTCTTCTTCCTCCTCCTCCCCCATATCATTATCATCCATATCATCAGAAAACTTTCCCTTCTCCCCCCCGCCTCGCCGCCCCTTAGGTCACGCGGCGCGCATCAGCGCGGGTGCGTAGAGTCCCCACGCGGCGAGCGCCGCGGTGGTGCAGCCGACGACGACCAGAGTGACGACCCAGCCGACGGCCGTCTTGACGAGCACTGCCGTGTTGACGCCTCTGGTCCCCTCGAGCAGGGCGACGCCCGTCGTCGCGCCGACCTAGCACAGAGTCCAGAGGCACAGCTGTTCCCGGGCATCAAGCTTCACGCTCCAGAGAGCTGCAGCCTCACGACACCCCCCCCCCCCCCCCCTCGCTAGCAGCGCCGGGAGGACCTGGCAGTGTGTGGCCGAGAGGGGCCACCCCATGCGGGAGCCGACGATGATGACGAGCGCTGCGCCGAGCTCGATCGCGAAGCCGCGCGACTGGGGAGGGAGGCAGCCGGGGGA